TCACGAGCACATGCACACACAGGCATTATGGGCTTATCTCATCTCGCGCAGCCCGCGCCAGGCCGCGGCTCGGTCCTCCGGGCTACTTTACTAATAACCTTTTCCTTATCAGGCACTCTGCACCTCTGCCTGTGATCAAAGACCCAATTAATGGAGCGGGGAAAGGTGAAGCATTCAAATAATAGAGACAGCTGTTTTTCTCTGTTTGAGAGAATCCATTTGTATTGTTATCGGCAGAGAACAGTTCTCCGGACTTCACTTAATTGAGGGTCTGTCAATTCTCGCCACTTGATAAAAAACGCGAGTTGAAACGCGAAAGGTGGTAAATGGCAGGAATATCACAGTGTTTCAACTTATCCTTATAGCTTTATGATCTCTTAAATGGTAATAAAAGCAGATAAGGGGCGTAAGAGGTTCACAAAAGCGTAGACCTCTTGGAAGAGTCATGTGATTCTCTGAAGGTTTTGTAATGGCTGAGCGATCTCCAGGGTTCATTTTGGCGTGGCTTGGGGGGCGGACGCATTTATAAAGCCTTTCGTCCGGGACGAAGGTAATTGCTGGACTAAATGTGTTGCCTTGTCAATGTTGCCGTCACATTTCAGGACAAAGTGGGCTGAATATTGCACATATTAACATTTCAACATTAGGTAAAATGTAAAACGGGGGACATGGGAATTAAGTGACACTTTAAATACAGACCTTCCACACTAATAGCTTCCCTTCAGAGAGCATTTACTCTTCAGTTCACAAGGCTACTTATGTTGGGTTTAGCAGGCCTTTTAAAGCCTAATTTCACTTCAAGCTTTTCTCGGTTCACACTAAATCACAATTTACTCAACCTTTAACAGTATGTCTCTTACTCGCAGTGTAGCTTTAGTTTTGGAGACATTTTTTGTAAAAAAGGCCATTTGAATTGAGTTTAGAAATGCTTAGAAGTCTATAATTCCCATACCTTTTGACCAATAGCCATGACTTTTCCAGTCTCTCCAAATCATTCCAGTCAGGTAAATCATAATCATGACATAAAAAGTTATAATTATGATAAAAAGGCAAAATGAAGAGATACTAAGACGTAATTATGAGATAAAATGTCAATGAAAAGAAATTATGAGAAAAAAATCTATAAAAATAATTACATAAAAGTAATAATTATGACAAAAACGATCATTTGAATTGAAATTATGAAATAAAAAGTCATAATTATGATACAAAATGTTGAAATTATGACAAAAACAATTATGTTATGTAAAAAATTTAAAGTTCTACCTTAATTTTGACTTTTCATGTCAGAATTATGTTTTACAAAGTTAACAGTTCTACATTAATTTAGACTTTTCATGTCCTAACTATGATTTACATAACCGTGGGAACCCCGTAAATTAAAATGCATGAAAAAAAATCTATGAAATAAAGAAATAAAATTGTTATTTCTTAGATGTATCTCTTTTCTAGTCTCTACTCCTTTGAACAATCTTGGAACTTCTCATGTTACTGCATCTTAAGGACGAACCACTTTGTGGTATTTCTCATTTTCTGAATTGCCAAATGAATAAATGTAAACGATGTATTCAAACAGAATGCGCATTCTGTTCTGTAACATGCAACAACAAAGTACTTTATACAAAGACAAAAAATAAACCCACAGCCTCCAATGCAGGTATGAACATATTTATTACACAGTAAAGAGTACAACAATACCAGAATCATACTGCAAAGATTCACAGACTGACAGACCATTTACTACAGCCCCCAAAAATGAGAGAATAAAATAAAGAAAACAGATTAAACAAGAAACCACAGTTCTGACATAGTAGACTCAAAAACCCTAGAGTATACTGAAACGGTGTGACGAGAGAGCACACCCTCCCAGCCCACCTGTAACCTGTGGTTCATGTTTCCGTTAAGTATTGCACAACAACTTTCATGAGTTTTTTTTTTTTTTTTTCACAATAAAGATTTTCGAAGAACCCTATGACTGCCCGTCCTGAACCCACCCCACCAATTCATTTCACTAAGTTTCCACGGTCCCTTTATTATCCCAAAAGTTGAATTAACTTTACAAACTGAAGGAAAAACAAAACAAAACGTAAGAACACCTGGCAAAAAAGGCATGCGCAAATTCACCAGCCGTTACTTTTCGCTCACGTTTGGTGCGAATCCCCCAATAACACGAACCTAAATGACATTGACGAGCGGCCAAGCGTGTCTCACAACAGAAGACATAAACGGGGGAAAAGGGGTTGCAGGAGAAGAGGAGGGCAATTGGAATATATCACATTTCTCATCTTTGACCATTTATTGAATAGTGTATATCAAATGGAGTCAACACTTTTTTTAACTTTGAGTTGACTCAAAGTGATTTGTACGTGTGACAAACTTAAAATGAACATAACATTTTTTTTTTTTTTTTATGTATTCCATTACGTTTTTTTTTTTTTTTTTCTCATGAGGTCTGCATTGTTACCAAGTAGTGATATGGTTTGCAGCTATATGAGCTTTTAACTTTGGGTTTAAGTCCTGTTCTCAAGTGCCCATTTGGTTTGACTAGACCAGTGTCCGCTCGGCGACTGGTGCTCCTAACGTGCTGTCAGAGGTAGAGTGAGACTTTTTGCCACCGAGGAAAAAAGGTTGTAGCAAAACAGACGTACTAGAGTGGGAAGGAGGAGTTTCTTAATGCTTTGTCCGTGCTTAGTTTATTCAGGTCACCCTGATTGAAGTTACTACACTAACTGTATATATTTTTCAAAAATAGTACATTAGTGTTTCAAGACAGCTTAGCTGGCAGGTTCTCTGGAGATGTGTACAGGTGTCTTACACCTTTGTTTTTTGGATTATTTAACCGCAGCATGCCGGAGGAGGCCGGTAGTGCATCCAGGGCCAGCCCCTCCTCCAAAGAGGTCAAATGCACAGCGTTTAGCACCATTGTTTGGGGGGCGTGAAACATCAGAGTGCAGCTAAGTGCTGGTTTAGACCCCTCTTCCTCTTAAGCCATTGGCGAGGTTGTTTCGTTTAGTTTTAGTTTCTCACATGGCTTTTTATCTTGAGCTGAAACACTTAAAGGTTTGGTTATGCGCCGTTCGTGAACGAGAAGAGCTTCGCTTCGGTCGGGCAGGTAGCCTTTTGGGGTGACGTTCTTATGACACATCCGTTTCGAGGAATGATACGGAAAGGAAAAGGACGACAATGAAACGGTTGTGAAAACCTAGCCCTGGAGGATCTAGATATGGGATCCACCTTTTCAGTTATTGCTCAATCATTCAGACCGCCTCGTCCACACATGAAACCCTCTTTTCTTAGGACCTGCTACATGGTTTTGAGTGGCTCCTCCTCCCTACGATCTGAACAGGGCTGGTCTTGGCTCTGGACAGGGGAGAGTTAAAGGTTTTCGAATGGAAACATTGCTCAATGTGGCTTCCCCTGATTAACACGTCGAGAAAACAAAAATGCATTTAAGTGAGTCTCTTTTGTCATGTTTAAATCTTGGATAAAATCAGGTTTTGGTCCTTCATGTCTGTCTTTGGCTGTCTTCCATGTTAATTCTTTTGTAATACTGTGTATCCTGGTGCTCTGCAGTGTTAAAGCTGTCTGTTTTTCACCTCTGCATTTGGAAAGTTAGTTTCTTAGTGTCTTTTTTGTACATTTTTTTCCTTTTTTGTAGAAAACAAAAACAACATATACCATAGCGTTCAGTATGCATGTGCATGCACTGTCCTTAACTATTCAAAGCAAAATGTTTAGAAAAAAAAGTTAACAAAAGCAGATTGTGATACTTCTGTTTTGTCTTTTTTCCATTTTCTTTTTGCTCTTTTTTCATAATTTTTTTCTCAATTTTTTTAACAAGAAAAGAAAAATCACAGATATGTAACGAAGCACTCCAAAGATAACCCATGAGGTGAGGCTCCCTATGAAAAAAAAAAAAAAACTGCCAAAAGAAGCATGCTGAGAGAAACCGTGACAGTGCAAATACATTTATGTACGTCCCATGTACAAAAACATTTATGTTAGCATTCCATGTAACATGCTAGTTCTCAGAAAAAACATCTGAATGAGACTGAAGTAGCAGCTCTGAGAGATAGCGTTTGTCTTTCGAGGACAATGGGAAAAGGTTTTTTTTTTCTTCTTAGAGAACTACAAGGGGACTAGCACAAACACATACAAATAGAAAAGCAGCTTGCGAGAAAGAGAGAGAGCGCGAGAGAGACAGAGAAAAAAGAGAAAATATGTTCTTCCTTTTTGCACCTAGAAAGACTAAAAAGTTGTGAGCGTGGTTTAAACTATTAATGCGTCGTCACAATTGTCCAGCACACGTACAATAAATAACCATTGGAGACGGCACAGGACACAAGTGTTTAACACAATGAGATCTAGAAGGGCAAAAAGAAGCAGAACGAGGACTGATGGCGAGAGATAGGCAGGACAGGAGAGGGCTCTGGACTGGTTCCAATAGCCAGTGATTTATGGGTGATTTCTCAGCCCTTTGTTTCCCAGCGGCTGTCACAGTGAGGTTCTGACAGTCCTGCTCTGGTGGGCCGATGACTTCACTTCCTGTTTTGGGAGCTGATGGAGTGCATTTGGGATCAGGGCTCAGAGTGCATCCTTCATTACGCCGTGTAGTACTCAACATCCAGCACGGGCCCTCCTCGCCCCTACATTCCTCAGTGAAACAGCTTTTTATTTCTCAGACCATTGACCTGGATATTATCTTGCAGAAGAGGGACGAACATCTGCGTTCCTTCACAATCTGCTGCACATCTGCAGAGTTCAGCGCGCGAGCCAGAAAAGCCATCCGCCGTCTACTCCACCACGTCCGACACAGATGCCCTTCACGGCATGTTTTTTTTCCCCTCAACATTTCATTTCAGTCTCTGCTTACATCAGCTATGAAATATTTCCTTGGTTTTTGTTATTTAAAGTGTCTTTTAATGAGGTCAAATAGTTTCATATCCCAGCTACTGGATAAAGAGCTTTGAGAACAGAACGGAGGAGGGGGGGGGGGGGGGGGGGGGGGAAACCCGACAAAAAAACAAAATGAAGAGGAGGTCAAATACACTCATCAAGAGGTCCCAGCTGTCTACTCCATTTGTCTTCTTATTTACAAGAATGCAAGAGAGCCACAACATCAAAAAACGACATTACCAGCAGTAATCGATAATAGCTGTAGTAACAATAAAGAACAATGAGAATTTCAAACAAAGAATATCTTTGCGTTCTCTATCATGGCAAGTCAATATGACCCGAAATGGACCTCCTGTGGGTGATCGCCCTAAGTACAGTCTTCTTTCTTTGTTAGTGCGCTAGCTTTAGCATTTTGGAGCGAGCGAGTGAGGCAGGTGAGTCAGTCCCCAGTCTGCTGAGGCTTCGGTAAGGGTCCGCTCGGACTCTAGCGCGGCGTGTTCTCTATGGTGGAGGGCGTGCCGGGTGTGGCGGAGCGGGGAGTGGCGGCGGACGGTGTGTCCGCTGGGCTCCCGGCTCCGCTGCTGGGGGTGGCTGAGGAGCTGACGGTGGCCGGGGTCTCGCTTTGCTGCTGTGCCTGCAGAGTCTGGCCACATACGTGGTGGTGCTTTTCCCAGTCCTTGTGCTGGCAGAAGGAGCCGCAGTAACGCGCCGTGTTGCAGCCGCTGCAGGTCTCGCTCGCCTTGCGCCCACAATTCCAGCAGCTCTGCATGGGAAAAGAGGGAAGGTTGAAGGGAGGTTTAAGCTTAGTGGTGGGCGATATGACCAAAAATTGATATCACAGAATTGTTCAAAATTATACTGGTTTCACATTGACTTAGAATGCCCTATTATACTGTCATGAGTGAATATTGTAGAAAAAAAATCCACACTAGTATTAATACAGGTTTGCAAGGCCCCACAGAATGATGCTGTTTACAAAGAGGAGGCGCTTTAGGAGCGGCAGCAATAGCGGTTTCCCCGGTAACGGCTGTACACAAAGCAACGCAGCGCTGCGCTCATAAACGCTGCTTTATCAGGAAAGATAAAGAAAGATTAAATGAAAATAACATCGTAACTTTTCTAAAGACAGTCAGTTCCCTTCAAAGATACATTCATATAAAAACACCCACGTCGCGTTCTGACTTTGAAACGTGCAGTGCTCATGTTTACTCAACGATGTCAAAGCCTTTTGGAAAATCTATTCGTGGCGGGAAGTGTTGATATTGTGAACCAATGTATGGGAAACACTGTAATATAATTTGAAAGCTATCAATTATAGTTTAACCTTTCCATCTTCACCTTCACACATAGTAACACATACAGCTGTGCAAAAGTGAAAAGGGACCCATCTCAAACAGTGTCGCGCCGCGATGCGTTCCGAACGTTGTTTAAGCGACATACTTCGGTATTCATAATACATTCCGGTATATTATACATATGCCGGTATATTAAAAATTCATATCACAACAAAAATAAACACCGGTATTCGGCATGAACCGATATACTGCCCAGTACTATTTCAACTGTAATATATTCAAAAAATGTGCACTTCTTTCCATTGGGTATTATTCCAATTAGGAAATAATAGATACACAGACCTTTGAGAAAAGTGAGCGAAAGTCTCGGCTCATTAGCAGCAAACATTTCCCATTTGAATTTAAGTGTAAATAGAGAATTCTGCTTTATTTTTCTTTGGATCTCCCTGCTTTGAAAACATGGAAATAATGAGCTAGCTGGGGGAAAAAAAACCCAGTCATTTTACCCAGTTCCACATGGCGCTTTGTGAGGACACATTTGTAACAGGTTAACTACAAAACGCTCAAAGATCACACAGAAACTCAGGTTACCACTGTGGCCTCGTTGCGTTTGTCTCCGGGCCAAATAAGAGCAATTATCACAAAGTCTCGAATGTGTCCCAGAGACGAGAAGCCGGAGTTATAAACGGCTACCGACGCAATCCTCCGGAGAGAGGCGCATAAACATGGCTCGTGCAATTAAACTCATATGCGTGCCGCCTTTCTCTGCTAACTGATTAAACGAGCCGTACCCCCGCTGTGCACAGACACTCGGCGCTCCCTTCCCAATTTCCCGCATCCAAATCAGTACCACCTTAACTGTCCACATGTTTCATTTAGTGGAGGAAACGCACCGCTCTGCCTGAGGTGATAAATGCAATGTTATATTCCTCGGCTCTGCGTGACACCAGCCTGCATGAGGAATTATCTGGGACACACTTTTCTCTTCTCATATGATCTCTATGTTTCCCTACAGATTTCCATACTAAGGAGATCAAATGTAAGTCATGGAAATAAAACAACCCAACCAAGTAAATCAGGCATGTACAAATCATATAAACTATAAGAAAATCCTCTAGATAATATCTAATGCAAAATATCATAAATTATGGAATATATTACCATCCCAATGAATCATTGTGCAGTAAGTGAATTCTGCAGCTGTTCACTAATATAATAATGTGCGGTAGGCGTTTATTTATTAGTTTATTTATCAGGGACCATGCACAGTTCAAGCCCTGTACCAGAGTTAGCTATACGGCTAATTTACATCTGTGCGTACAAGCTGTTACCTCACTAGAGTCCTCCTGCTGGTTGATGACTGACAGCGCGTCCTCCGCCGCTTGCCTCTTGGCCTCGGCCACCGTGCGCTCCATCTTGGCTCGCTCCGTGCTGATCATCTCGTGTGCCTTGCGCTCAGCCTCTGACACAGCTTTCTGCAGCTCAGACATAGCTTGCCTCTTCACCTCATTCACAGCCTCTTCTGAAAGAAAGAGCACAGTGCTTTACAGTGTCCATAGCACAGCAACAGAAACCCCAAAAATAGTGTAGAATTAATAACCGATGTATGGATCACATATAATCTGCAGAAAATGTGACAAACTATCTTTTTTTTTTTCAGGTAACCTAAAACATATGATTTATGTGGTGACAATATTATTGAAATCGAATATTATTTTAAATGACTTAATCAACCTGTCTACATTGTTAAATCAAGTACATTTTAAGGGTCAGACTAAGTAGAAATAGCTCATTAAGTTAACAACTGCACATGTTGAACTGTTGACATGACATCTCACAGCTAAAGATTATGCCTTCTAAAATACTAGGTGTGTCACAATATATGTGTCACAATATATCTCAATACAAAAATGCAACAATATGTATCGTGGATAGTGACAATCTGTATCTGGTGTCACCATTGTCCTGTGCATTGGGTTAACAGCATCAAGTCCAAGCCTATTCATTTCCACCCCCAATGTAATACCAAATGTATCATTTTAAATCAACAGTAAATCTTTTGTTAACCTTTTACCATACTTCTTAAGGTATCGCAATGATATTGTATCGCGAGTTCAGTATCGTGATATGTATCGAATTGTGACATAATGGTATCGTTACACCCCTATAGAATACACTTACCTAATAATTCAAATTAATAGATACAAATTCTAATTTAAAAACAATAGTATCTGACATTTTGTATTCATTCAAAGTAACTCAGCTAATTAGTGTTCATTTTGAAAACTATTTTTACGTTGTTTAATTGATCCTATTGGTTTGTTTTGTTCTAAAGCAGCTGAGAGATTAATCTGGGGATTAATTAGAAACATCAATTTCTATTTGAATGTGCTCAGATGACTTTCTGTGTTTGCTGAATACAAATAAACAAGAATGGAATGCTTTTGTTTAGCCTCAAACCAAAGACTACTGTAGTGCACAAGACAGATTACAGGTAACCCTTGATATTTTTCCCTATGAAGTATACATGTATTTCCTTGAACTCGCACTTTATCTCTACTTTTACATTGTTATCCCATTAACCGTAAATACTTCTGGCAGGAAAACTCATCTCAAGAGCAGACTAGGGATTTTTTGTGTTTGTTTGTTTTCATTGTTCAAGGCTGCAGCCTGACTAATTGCATATGCAAATTGGGCAATTTATATTTAAATTATGCATTTCAATTGCGCCCCCAAAAGACCATGCAGATCAGGATATGGCACTGTGTGAGAAAAGGGTTTGAATATTCATCACCTACTGTACACAGTCTTTCTAAAAAAAAAAAGAAGGACATTCACCTCTTACGCTTGTGAAGACCGCTTTAAGGCAGTTCTTACTCTTAACTCTTAAAGGGTTAGTTCTTAAGAGTGAGTAAATCATAGGGTAATTTTCATTTTTGGGTGAGCCAGCGTTTTTGAGAAAATTTGCCAGCTAGCGCCAGCATTTTTGACCATTTTCACAAAAGTTTCATGGCACCCAGAATATTTTGTTGTATGACAACCTGAACATGCAATATTTCAAAAGAAAGAAAGAACCCTCTGCTTAAAAAAAAAAAAAAAAAAAAAAAAAATATTATAGCTTTATGCATTCTGAGCAAAAAGCTGAGAAAATCACGTTTATGTCAAAGACTACGTCTGGATCGGATTCAGAACGATGATCAAAACATAGATGGTATAGATCGCTTCCATCAAAGCTTGCACAGTTCTATACCTCGTCCTGGGTCGACATTTCATTCGGTAACATTAGGCAGTTTTGATTTATATGCTGTTTAATGTTGATGATTGCTTTATTTTATTTTTTTTACATATGCATCTGCTTACATATGCTATCGCTTGCTTCTGCTTCTTCTTCACATGTCTTTTAATCTGAAGATTCTGTACTCTTTCAGAAGATGTCTAATAGCGCCCCCTACCGCATAACAGTGAAAACACGGAAAGCCGTACATTTTCGTCAATGGCGGGGAAGCGGTGTCTCATAAATGGCGGGAAATCCCATCAATGGCGGGGAAAGAGTTAAAAATTTTTAGCTTGTGTTAGGTTTTGTAACCATCACTAGAGGCGTACAATAGCTTAGAAAAATACTATTCTTAAGGAGTTTTAATAGACTAAACTGTCATGGCAGTCTCTTGTTTTGCAGAAATGGATGGCTGTGGTTGAGCAGACCCCAGTCTTAAATATGAAGGATTATAGAGCCAGGGACATTTTCATCAAGACTGGACTGAATTGTAAAACCATGGTGGTTTGGTGCACAGAGTCGTCCTCTTGATGGGCTGAGGTCACGGAAAATGCACCACATTCCCTGATATGTTTTACTGCATCTATACTTCACTATTCAGATGGAATTTCAATCTGCGGTGATTTGTTTAGGGTGTTACTACCGCCGTTGTGTTTCAAAGGCAATGTGTTAGCTGAAACGAGCGGTCTTAGAGCGTCTTTTGTAACGTCATTTTCATGGCAAAGTTTGTTTGCTTTTATAAAGCCTTTGGTAAGACCACACAGTGGAGACAAACTGCTTTAGCAGATGCGTCTGTCGTGTATTAGAGAGCCGAAGCCAAGGTAAACAATCTGCTATTACAGAACCCATCACTTGTCATATTTCACACAGATCAACTGCTCTTTAAACAAAGCCTTTTAATATCTTTATCCGTCTTTTAACCAGCTCCTCTGCTGTGATAAAACAGAGTGCCGTGGAGAGCTGAGAGCCTGTTGCACAGCTAATGGGAAGAGTGCTGAAGTGCTGTAAAGGCTGGGAGCACTTATGTGTCCTGTTCAGCCAGAGCAATAAAAGAGCTTTATGATCTGACATCACTGTTGGAATGTGTAGAGGTGCTTCCCGTGAAAGCCAATCACTGAACTGCCCAACACACGACTCAGGGACATCACGGGAGTCAAACAAAATGCAACAAAACCAGACAGACATTTCAAAACGCACTCTAGAGCTCCAAGACCTTCTTCTGAACATTTTTGATAATGTTGGTTTTAAATGTAAATGCATGATGACAAAACCTTTTCATTTTTAGTAAAATGATATTTTTTAATAGAATATATATATATTTTTCTATATTTATTGCCACCACAAGTGTGCATGAAAGGAAAACAATTCAATGTTTATTTTCATAAGAATTAAAGGAATTTAATCTGTCAAAAACATATTAATTAATTTATTATATTTTATTTATTTATTGTCCTTTTTTTATTTGTGCATTACTATTTTTATGATTTTGCCTAGAGCTTAAACACCGACCAGGTTCCTACCTGACTGCAGTTCTGCATACAGATAACTAACTGACTGACTGATTGAATTTCAGAGAGCTTTTAAATCACAGACAGGCTTTGAAAGAGCTCTGTGTGAATAATTTAGCTTTGATTTTCCACCTGTGCTTATGAGTATGTGTACATGTTTAAAAAAAGACAGCATGCTAACCGGCTTTCTTCCAGATTTCTTCAGGCACATATCCAGACACTGGCCTGTGAAGGAGCTCCCTATGGATATCTGTAAAAGAGAAAACAAAGGACACTTCATTTACAATGAACTCAATAGACAGCATTTTTTCCCAGTCAAAATAACAGATAAGTTACCATATTGTCATCAAGACAATTGTTAAATCAACTGTAAATCTGTTCTTTTTTAAGGTCAAATAGATGTAGGCAATTGGACGTGATGCAGATGTCTCAGACACACATCTTGTGCTGAATATGTGTTACCTAAAGCATTGCTTTCTTGGCTGGCGGGGCTCTGCTGTCGGGACTGACTGCTGCTGGTGCTGCTGGTCTTCTTAAGGTCTTCAGCATCACTGTAACGACGGATCCAGTAGTTGAGCTCTTCCCGGTCGGCCTCCTGACACCTCCGCAACACCGTCAGCGAGCGACGAGTCTTCTCCACCATATCCATGATGCAGTTCAGGAGCTGTGGGGGAGATGCAGGCAGAGCGTTACCAACACAACATCTTCTCTAAATAGAATTGACCAAATTTAGATATAAAAATATCATATTAAAAGGCTTACATTGAACACTCACTCACAGATCTTTATGTTTGAAGGCATTAAAACACTGATGCCAACAACTAAGAAAAAGTTAAAGGGATAGTTCACTTTGAATTTAATTTTTGGTATGTTTTAACTTACCTCAAGGGCATCCAAGATGTAGGTGTCTTTGTTTCCGCAGTAGTTTCAATTTTGATATTTTTAGGTCAAACCGTTCTTGTCTGTCAGTCATATAATGCAGGTCTATGGTAACTTCCTCAAAGAGCATGCACAGAGAAGTCCAAATTAAACATGATTTAATGACTCGTAAATGTAAGTACACATTGATGGCCTAAGACACGAAACGAGCGGTTTGTGTGAGAAAACGAAAAGTATTTATATCGTTTTTACCTCATGTAAACACAGCCACCTCCAAGTGATCTGATGGCGCCGGCGCTTCGGTCTTTTCCGGCAAGCGCCGGAAAGTGCCGGAAGTGATCTCTCGCGCGTTTACGTCACTCATTGTTTACACAGAACAGAGATTGTAGGTAAGACGGCTAATTAAAATGGTAGTAATTTGCGCTTATCCGGGATGTTTAAACCGTCGTAAAAGAAAACAATAATTTTTTTTTAAAAATAAAACAATTGTATGAGTGACGTACACGCGCGAGAGATCACTTGGAGGTGGCTGTGTTTACAAGAGGTAAAAACGATATAAATACTGTTCGTTTTCTCACACAAACTGCTCGTTTTGTGTCTTAGGCCATCAATGTGTACTTACATTTACGAGTCATTAAATCATGTTTAATTTGGACTTCTCTGTGCATGCTCTTTGAGGAAGTTACCATAGACCTGCATTATATGACAAACAGACAAGAACGGTTTGACCTAAAAATATAAAAATTGAAACTACTGCGGAAACAAAGACACCTACATCTTGGATGCCCTTGAGGTTACCTAAAACATACCAAAAATTAATTCCAAAGTGAACTATCCATTTAATGCTCTGTGCTTGCTCTTTTTTTTTTTAGCTCAGGAGACGTTACATCTTAAATGGTTAGTTCACCCCAAAATTTACATTTTGTCATTAATTACTCATCCTCATGTTGATTCAAACCCGTAAGACTTTAGTTCAACTTCAGGAACACTAATGAAGATCTTTTTGATGAAATCTGAGAGCTTTCGGTCCCTCCATTGACAGCTACGCAACTACCACTTTGACGCTTCAAAAAGTTCATAAAGAGATCGTAAAACTAATCCATATGAATTGAGCGGTTTAGTCCAAATTTTCTGAAGAGAGACAATCGCTTTATATGATGAAGATATATGTGGTAAACGGAAGCTCAAGCATGTTCGCTTGACGTGTGAGAACCAATGAGGTTCATTCTCGTGTTACGCAGCACGTTTGAGCTTCTGCAAGAACCAATAAGGTTTGTTTTCACGTGTCAAGCAGGTTCGTTTGAGGTTCTGTTAATGTTCACTGATCAATGTTTATGTGAATAAAAGCCTAAATTAAATCTGTTCATCATATAAAACGATCGAGTCTCTTCAGAAAATTTGGTCTAAACCACTCAGTTGATATGGATTAGTTTTACAATCTCTTTATGAACTTTTTTAAGTGTCAAAGTGGTAGTTGCATAGCTGTCAATGGAGGGTAAGTAATTGATGACAGAATTGTAATTTTTGGGTGAACTATCCCTTTAAATGACAACTGTCTCATATGTTTCTCCTGAAACTCTTTAGACACAAATAAGCAATTGTTCACACAATTTTGATCTTGGAATAACTTAAAAAAGTTTGCATTCATGTTAAACCAGACTTCAGGATCTTGCTCATTTTGTGAAAGATATGAGAAACAGAAGAATCACCATTTGAGCTCAATATAATCTCGTTGCTGTCTAGAAGTGCTTGTGATAAAGCAAAAACAAAACAAACATGCAAACACACTTCTCATGTTCTCTCATTCTCATTCTCTCACACACACATACACTTTGGATAGTAATAAAAAATGTTATTACTTTTCTTACATGGTCAAGGTGCTTCCACTCTTCTGCCCATTCTCTGTCTGTGAGCCTGTGATCTATGACTTCCTCCTGGCGTGTGCTGCCGTGCATCCCTGACACAGAACGAGAGAAAGAGAGAGAGCGAGTGTTAAACGTGTTACTATTTGGGCCTTGGTTTTCCATTTCTCTTGCTTGCCCTCAGCGGCATGTCGTGCCCGTCTGTTTCACAGCCATAGCTCACCCGCTTCCTGACATCCTCCATCGCTCACACACTCTTCATTCCTCACATGCTCTCATCCCTCACTCCACTCTCCCGTGCTGCCTGCAGGCACGCTCTCTCCCTCTCTCCACACCGCACCAGAGCTGCCAGGCTCATGCATATCTTGTGCATATATCACCAGCTAACATGCTTGAGTATTTTTAGCACATTTAAACCTGATATGGCGAGTTGGCTTTATGTGAACCTCAAATCATTTTTATAAGAGTTTATGTTCCTGATCCAACGGAGCCTCGTCTGGTTTAACTTCTAAGAGTCTGAGCGGCATGCAGTGGACTTTTGAGGGTTTGAGGCATTGGCAAACTCGGCTTTGGAGAATGGGGCTCATATTGTTTATATTGTCAATTAATTTGAGAAATTTATTTTAAATAATAAATGCACATTTTCTTATTTTCTCAAATGGATATATATATATATATATATATATATATATATATATATATATGGTTTGTAATTTATCATTATTTTATTATTGGTACTATGCATTTAATTTACAGTTTAATCAAGCACATTTTCCTCAAAAAAAAAGTCCTTTTATCCATTTTTGGGGTCTATTAAAGACCATAAACTGAATTTGAGCCTCATTTTATTTGAAACTTGTTTTTTACCCTCAAAATGTATAGGGTATGAAACCTTCCACATGAAAATGGAATATTTTATTCATAAAGTTTGAGGATTGGAGACATTGGTGACAGCAGCCGTGGAGAAGGTGGCTTATATTGCATGTCTCAAGCTCTAACAATCTTTCACAGCACAGTAACGCTCTTATTAATGACTGTCTCCAGATGCTGCTGTAATCTGCCCTCTCTTACCCAGAGGCCGAGGGCGGTCGCGGAGCTCGCGGTGGTTGGGGTGGCGGTAGGAATCTCTGTAGTGGTGTGCTATGGCCATGTCGTCCAGACGGTAGTGCTGTGGAGGGGGCGGGGTGGGGTGTGGCAGGCCGTTGGGCGGGTAGGATAGCCCGTTGGAGGGGCTGAAACGCTGGCCGGGACTGATAGTGCAGGGCCTCTTGTTGGGGTGCTCGGGATGGAGCGGCTCCCGCTCAAAGCCGTTCTCTTTGGTTCTGGAATAAGAAAGAAGATTCCAGAGTGAGGAACAGGAAAGAAGTAGAAGTGTTGCACTGACGTTATACTAATGGATGGATGGATGGATGGATAGATATGCAGATAGACAGACAGAGACCTTTACTTTCCTCTTCTACACAACTGGTTGTCTTTCCATGTCAGGGGCAATGTTGACTCACTCGGTTTTTTTTTTTACCACTCCAACGAGACAGACACTGTCTGACATTGAGATGTCTTCTGAGGACTGTGTTCATTCATGTAATGTACTTTCCTATGCTGTTAGTCGAGAGAGAATGTGAAACAGCTCCTGAGGCAGTAAGAGTCTGTCATCTAATAATGTGCTAAGTAGAAAAGCAGCCACTATGCCTCCGTTGAGCACTTTGTTGTCTGTAAAAGGAGGTCTTGACAGAGCACATGAGGACCATAAGAGATGTGCACTTACAGGACTCATTCAGCGCACCTAAACCCTGGTGCTTTCACATTGCTTTGCCCTTCACTTTCATGTGTCACGGGTCCAGGTGTTCGCAGATGCTGGTACTCGTGTGAGTCACAGTGTGTGTGAGTGTGTGTGTGTCGTGAGGCGGTCGTCCCTCGGTTACCTCTGAAAGAGACTGAACTTCCTAATGAGCTGCTTTTATGAGCTGCTAATGTGCATCCATCACCGTCCATATGCTCCTCAAAACAACCTCTCTCCTCCACCCACACCTCCAAAACACAGCTGCATTTATTTTACCCCAGTCTCATACATGTTATTACCAATTCTAATTCTATCCATTCTTCATGGACTTGTGTCTCTGATTCATGTGATTTTTATGTGATTCTCCATCTTGTTTTTTTACCATCTACAAAAAATTTATTTTTGGATCTCTTTTTTCATTTATTATGTTTTTTTTGTTTTTTTTTATCAAACGAATGCAGCATTGGTGAGCAAAAAGGACTTCCTTTAAAAACTTAAGTTTCTTTTTTTACGGTAGTGTATTCAAGGAAGATAGTCCTTGGGTGTAAGCATTTTAAAAGCCCAAGCCCAGTTTTATGACACTCTTTTGTGGATCACTGAAAGCTGTGAACTGAATTTGAACCTCATTTTGAAAACACCATTTTTTCTTTTCTTTTTTCTTTTCAAATATATAGGGGTCGTGCAGCACAATGGAATATTTTATTCAAATAAGTCTGGGCACACATTTCTCTTCTAAATGAGGAGAGCGTGCTAAGACTGCATTGCGGGATGCGCTCCTCTCCGTAGCTGTAGTTTCCTGATTCCTTTGATATTAATCAGACTGAAGTGACCGTATATTGTACTCCGTGATTAAGGACAGCATAGCTCCCTTTCAAATTCCAATATTGCTTTTCTCTCTCTTCCACCTCCTCATTCTGAGCGCGGAGAGTCGAGTCGAGCCGAGCCGAGCTAAGCAGAAACAGAAGCGCTTAGCCAGCCGTATCTGAGCTGAGTCTCATCTGTATGTGTTATCAGCCATGTCCCTAGGCTCACCTAGCCATACATTAGAGCTCACGCAAAAATGCAGGTATTACATAAAAAAAAGATAGAAGGAAAGAGAAAAAGAGAGCTGTATATTCTTTTCAAATATCCACAGGGACCTGAGCTGATATGTATTCATATAAGATAGCATATTAAAAAAGTATCTTCACTTAAAAGTGGAAATAATTCTGAGCTCCTGGGAGTGAAGTGAACTGATATATAAAAGCTTTTTTTTTTAATCTTTTCTCTCAGTCCACAGACTGTAGATTTGCTCTACAGTGCTAATTCTCACTCATGTCCATCTCAACAGGAAGTCTCCAAAGAATCTACCTGCATTCTCCAGATGTGTCTGGTTTCTCAAGGTTCTGCTCCATTTAAGGACGAGGATCCAAATGACGCATGACAATATAGACACTCATAACCTGCTGCAACATTTCTACATCTCTCCAGCTGTTTTACAAGCATGTATTCCTAGGGTATATATTTAGGTGCCTAAAGTCCACTCACTACCATACAAATGCGCTTTTAAAAATTTATCAATAACTTTAAAAAAGATTTTAAATACTATGAGCTCTAAGAAAGTAAGAAAAGGCCCACTGACCTGAGGCCAACTTGAGAAAGTTTGCATTGTCATTACTGCTTACTTTCATTGATTGTGTGTTTTTATTCCTTGCAAATTTAAATATTTGGTTTTGTGTGATAAATTGAACATTTTGTTTGTGAATTCTGTCAGAATGACATCTGTTAGCCCTGGAAACATTAATTCGTTTGTTGTAAATTTTCTGTCTTTTGATAAAGAATAATAGAAATACATTTTTGTGTAAATTTAAAAAAAATATAAATTGTATTTTTGTCTCAAAGCAAATAAAATTGTATGTTTCTTAAAACATAGTGTGACTGGCTAAATACCAACAAAACTACAAGACTGATTGATGATGTCAATTTACAGTTCAGCTCACCTGTCAGGCGTTCTTCTCTTGCCATTCTCATTGACATCCATCAAGAGTTCAGAAGAGTCGACGGGTGACGTGGTGCTTGTGTCCAGCAGGAGCTGCTCATGTTGGGCGAGATACTGAGCCGGGTTCTGCTTGGCCAGCCGTGCACAGTGCACCAACTCCCTCTGCAGTAGCGGCAGGTTGGCCTGTAGGGGGAGATAGTGGTCAGGTTGTGCTGCTGAGCAGATGTGACACTATGAAGCTGTCCACAGCCAGAGGCTCTAAACACCGTTTTTTGTTTACTCATTATTATCATTACAGGTACATTCTTCCAAAATAAAGACACTCTCGCGCCGTTTCGAGCAGCACTCTATTGTGACCTGAAACATGCATTAGTGCCCTGGGCCTTCGATATGAGCAATAATGGTCAACATAGAAAGTGACATCTTCAAAGCAGATGGTTTGGAGGTGGGGGGGCAACGTTCGCTTTCTTTCTGTCTCATTTCCTCTGCATCTCCGTCATGATTACTAGCTGGCTTGGCTTTCTCCGAAAGCACTCGGAGGCCTCGCCACTTCAAAGACACACGGAGGAGCATTTTCACGGCAGATGAAAGGTTTTTGTGAATCCCCATCCAGCAACAGTCGGACTATTGCAGCATCTAAACAGCACAAGGTGTTAGTTGGAGGATGATGTCTATTTTCTTTCTTTCTTTCTGGCCTGTGACTCTGATCTAAGACTATAATCAAACATATTTTCAGCTCTGGAATATTTTTCAGTGTACTCTCACAGTGTGCCTTTTCAGTGATGTAATGGCTAAAATTAGGAGTAGAGCGTTGATTGAATATTGAACGAAGCACAATGAAAGCATAGACTTTAAAGGAAGCGTGGCAAAAAATGTAGCCGTTGGTCATGATAAAGAAACAAATCATGATACAGGTAAATAAATAAAAGTTATTTTGATTCATTTTAATGATGATAATGATTGGGACAGTTTATAAAGGACCTCTTGGTCGCCAGCTGTATGAGGTAATGGTCTGTTAGTAGTTTATGGTGATAATTACCAGAGGCAGTGAAATTGCTTTGACCCTAAATGACCTTAGACTTTTATTAAATGGAGGTCCTCATAGTTAGTGGCAGTCCACATATAGCAGCTGCTCACGGAGTGCTTAATGTACACTGTAAAAAAAAAACATTTTCTTACTCAATATTTTTGTCTTGCTTTCCAGTATGAATATATACACATTATTATATCAAGATACATTTGCTTGAGGAGCAAAATGACAAAAGATATAAAGTTTTCTGAATTTTATGCCTAAAATAGTAATACAAAATCTGCCAGTGGAGTAAAAAAAAAAAAAAAAAAAAAAAACTCGTCTTACCTTAGAATTTGTTTTTTAATCCCTTTTTTTTAAAAGTATAAACTATATAAATATAAACTAAAGTATAAATTCTAAAACAAGACCTAATATCTTTTATATTTAAAAGAAAGTTAAGATATTTAACAAGACAAATAATGAGAAAGAAAATCATTTCCAGCCAATGAATTGAGAAAAGCTTATTCATCAGAAAACGTTAATGCAACAGTCTAATTTTCGTTGTGTGTAACTCTATATAAAAGCATTCTGGATAATGACGGTAAAAACAATTTTATCATGTATTTTTTATAATACAATCCTGTAGCTTTATAAGCATGCAATAATTTGATGTTTGCTTCGATTATGTCTGAGTGTGTTCTCCAGCTCCTGTGTGGTCCATTAGCACACAGCTATTTGGAAACCAGCATATCAAACACAAGCCGCAAAGGAGTTTGCCATGTATATGTAATCCTCACTTCCTCTGCACTGATAGCATGTGGTGAAGCGCCGACTATGTCACGCTGAGTACGTCTCTGAGCAATGAGGCACAGAGCCGCAGAGGAACACATGTGCTTACAGGCTTTATGGAGACTGCTGAACGAAACAGCGGCTAAATATTACAAATTTATCTGATGAGGAATCCATTTGGAGAAATCATAAACAAAAGCCATCAGCACAAAGGCCGTCAGCCGGCGTCAAATTCGGATTACATCATTAGCGTGATGCACGCTGCCCTTCCTGTAAACACTTCCCCGCAAAACCCAACTCTGACGGGAGGGTCGCTAGACAACATTAGCCTAATGAAAAAATGCTGCTAATGCACATTGTTGCAGCTGCGCTTCTGCACGCTTATAAAAGCCCCTGTTCCCACAGCCATATGGTATTTGTCATTAAAGGCTCCTTTGAGGAAAACCACTAAAATTAGACGAGAGGGAGAGAGGGAGCGAGAGAAAAAAAAAAAACACAAGTTGCATCTTTGATACCACCCCTCCTGACTGGATGATACAGTAACCATATGGTGTGAAAGAGCGAACGAGTCAGGGAAGTGTCCCTGTATGCTTCTCTGCATCCGTCAGCGACCGGCGCAACCCCTAATGGGACCAATTTCTGCATGACAGAGCCGGCCAGGACAAGCAGTGGACAAGATGAAATGCCTTCGAACCGCACGCCGCGAGAACGGAGGACGCATCAAACCGACGGACCCCTTTCCATCATCATCTAATGGAGTAAACAACACAGATTTGATGCATCTCCACCGGCCGCTTATTTTATTATTATGGAAAGGAAGACGGAGGAAAGCAGAGCGTGAGAGAAAGATGGGAGGAACGGGGGGAGGGGGTGAAGGTTAGACAAAGAGGGAGGGGAACGGGTAGGTTGGTGCGTAATAGCTGTCACTTACTAGCAGATGAAAACGAATGGCGAACGATTGAGGGTGGATGGATACAGCAGTCACCATATGGATCAAAGCTCATGAGAATTTAATCTCTATCAAGCGCTGATGTCTATTTGCTACATATGTCATACATTAACAAATTATACATTCGCTCCGCAGGCTACAATCACTTTAATCTCGAACATGATAATGCGATACAAAAATGTGTCATGTGTAATTCAAATACTTCCCTTAGTCGAAAGAATAATATGCAGAGTGTTTATTTGAACGGTTCGTGTTAAGTGCTCCAACATAAACAGGCCCAGAGACACATTTAACTGTAGTGAAATAAGGGCCGTAGTGACAAATGGGCGGCAGAGAGGGCAAAGGTTGATATTCTCCCAGACAACAGATCGTCTTACTGTGGTAATGGTTTCAGATGTGCCCTGCCCTACGAAACTCAGCGTGTGAGAAAAGCGACAGTCGAACAAGGGAGTCCATCGACACGTATGAATAAATAGAGACATTGTGCTGTGGGACGGTCCCGTATGGTGCTGTTACACTGAGTAATGTGGGTTCACATCATGTATTTCCAAAGAGAAATAAAAAAATAGGTCCCAGTGACCAAGAAACCTGATGCCTCTTTGCTCATGAGGAAACCATGTATCCATTCAGGCCATTTAAAAGTGAGGGATAAAAAAAAAAAAAAAAAAAAAAAAAATCAAGAGCTGGGAGAAATATGTACATCTGTGCCTCAGTTGTTTAAATGTTTTCCAGATTGCTTGCTTGTGCAATACCTTCAGAAACGGGATGACAAAAGGTCGGAGTGGGAAGTTGGTCGCTTCTTGCAGTTTGGAGTGGAATTCCTCAATGGTTAGAGTGGAGTTCTGCAGGGAGAGATGAAAAAAGACGGTGCACGCATGAATACATGTGGAAAACATTATGTGATAATATTACTTATTGGAGGCAAAACTATATCCTGCTGAAGATTGAATGATTTGAAGACTGTAATGGGAGGCATATGTATGGCTGTGGTGAAAGGCCTCATATGGGGAAGTTTGATCTGGTGGCTTTTACATGTGCACGCGCTGACCGCATCATCATTGCATCAACAAACACACAAATACGTAGGCAAACACAACTACAGATGCAGTATTACACCACACAGCTTGCTCTGCGAGATAAAACATGGCATAAACATCATAACACACACAGAAGATATGCAGCTTTAAAAAAACGTGTCTTGTTCCCTACCGAACTGACATATATCTTACCCCTGTTAAACTTGGCAGTGTAAAAAAAAAAGAAAAAAAAGAGAGAAATTACTAATTTCTATCCCTCCAGCTCTCTGCTCTATCATCTTTTAACAGATTGATAGGACACCATTTTCAATTTTCTAGACGTTATTTCCAAGAGATCTAGCGGAAGGAAAGATGGGAAGCAGAGCAGGGAGTCATACATTTGAGAAAAATACACAGGTTTTTTTTTTTCTTCCTCTTTTCCCAGACCTGAATTTTGTTACATTAAGCTTACATCTGTTCGGCCAGATTGCAGCGGCCTGTTTTGACAGCCAGAAAGCCTCCTGAGCTTTTCTCCAGCATCGGCGGCGCTAATTAAGTGTGTCACTCTTTTCAATAAGGCAGAGTGGGGAGCGAATTAAAAAGAGCCATGGAAGCCAAGGGGACACAAGGAAGCCTCTGCGTGTAGACACAGCGAAAAATAAACAAATGCCGGCCGAAAAAAAGAGCTTTCCTTTGGAATGGCTAATTAGAGCAGCCCTCCTCTAGTACAGGCAGCTATTTCACCATTGTTTAGTCCATAACTACATATTAATGAAAAGAAATGCTGTGGCACAGCTTATGGTGCACATCTAGTCAAGTGGATCTTTTTTTCCTCTCAGTTATGTTGCTATCCTTGGCAACAGATGTGTTCCATTTGATTTATCTCTGTTGGACAAGCCTTTATTTCCTACTTGGTGGCATAACCTTTTTGGTGACAAAAAAGCTAAACGAATATTTTCCGACTGTCCGTAAACTTTTCAGGAGACACAACGATCACTAGTAACTGTTTTATTTCTTAAAGACGTTTTGTCACAATATACACTGTTGAAAATCCCCATTAAGGTCATGATGAAATGGAAGTAGTGGCAGATCTTTTCTTTCCTTTTATTGTGACGTACATCCAAGTGTAATGGCTTATTGGAAAAAATTGAATTAGGGCACGGTTCAATTCATAAGTAGTTGATTGGATTTTGAGATCATAAACAGAGGCAGATGAACATGAGCTTGCAGGGGCAGAGTTGAAGCAAAATACATCCCAAATACATGATTGGCATACATCCCCACAGAAATGTCGTTTCATTGTAAGATTTAACTTTTTGGTTCAAAATAAAAAATAAAACAAATTCATGGTTGAATCATTCACAATAAGATCAATAACATGCATTTACGCAATAGATTGGGTGAATTTTAATTTCATGCCGACTTTAGCCACCGAGCATGTGATTTCAGACTTACCACAAGTCCTAACACCAGCGTACGCACTCGTTCTCCTATCTCAGGTGAGATGTCATTGCCAAACTGCTGCAGTGTCGTGAGGAAGCGTTTGAGCTTGCTGAGCTGCCTTGCGCCACAGGCCGGCGGCAGCTGTTGATTGGCCAGTGAGGATGAAGATGACGATGAGGGCCCATTGCTGAAGCCATTGGGTGGAGATGGAGCTCCGTTCAGTGCAGTGGGAGAGTGACTGGTGCCATTCGTTACTGGAAAACAGAAACAAATTATTTCTACATGCCACAAAAAGATCGTTGGCATTTATTTTTAACCCAAGCGTATTGAATGATCTAGACCCAAAAGATTCATATTAAACACTGCTAGAAACATTCCTCAAAAAGAAGCTGCAAGAGGATCCTTTGTCAAAAATGACATTTACGTATGAACGCCTGTGACTGACGGTGCTTGAATGAGGCTCTTGTGACAGTGGAACATTTGTTTTGAATCAGCCACGGCAGCTTTGAGAAGGAAGCAGTGCGTTCCATACATCAGACATATTAAGTCCAGAGGAGGAGAAGACATGTGGTCGAGTGCCCCCCGTGCCACGATGAGAAACATACGCGGCGGAGGGATGCAGCTTGGAATCAACGTCTCTCTAATGAGATTAGGCTGCGTGATAGCCTCGTTTGCCTGGCCTCCTTCCAACAGAACAGAAACGAGATACTTGAGCTGCATCTGGTAACAATTACATGGAGGGGAAATCAAAGCGCTTGCTTTGTTAAACCTTCAGAATGTATAATTAGAGTCTGCCTTTAAAAAGGCTCCGGATTGCTTCAGACCCGGCTTGCTTTTTGTCTCTTTTTTTCATAAGCGCTAATTGCAGAGTCCAACTGATCTGTTTTTAGGGATGTAACATCAGAGAGAGGAATGTGTTACTGCTGTTGACGGCACACCACTGCTCAATTACACTGACATGGTGCTGGGAGGCTGCGGCACGGACGGCTTTGATAGTGAGCCACTCCGGCGCTCCCCTGAGCTGCCATGTGTGATGCTCTTTGTGGCATCAGCCAGCGGGCAGATGCAAAAATCTGCAGGTCAGAAGACGAGGGGAACTCATGTCGGCTGTAATAAGGGGAGTGCAAAACTACATCTTCTTTAAAAGATTACATGAATGGCTAGTCAACAAGTTGGCCTTAAAGCCTTGTATAATTTTACCACTTTACTTTTGAAATCTTTGTTCTGTTTTTCTTGTTTCTGCATTAGTTTTGTATTGTCATTTAAAAAAAAAACTTTTTTGTAACATTGAGCATTAGAAAGGAGTTATATAAATAAAAAAATAGTATTAGTAGTTGTATTAATTTGGATGATGCTTTTAAAGAATAATATTTCAGAGCAACAATAATGGACATTTTTACCTCACACACTCAAAGTTTTGATTGGAATACATTACGTTCAATCAAGTAGTTGCAAATGGTCTAACCGTAAAAGTAGTGCTGTCAACTAATTTATGCACCCAAAGCACAGATCAAGATTCTACATATGCATATGACATGAATTCAATATATCCCGTACTTCTCTCCATTGGACACAAACCCAACTTATTTACTATTTGTTGACTGAGTTGCTGTAAGAGCATCTCCTTTAAACCAACTTGTCAACAATTCTGACATATCGCAAACTGTAAAATGCTGGAAGATGAAAATGGAAGTCCAAATATCATTATTTCAAAATGAAATAATGCATCTCTATAAACACCCTCTCCGTAAACCAAATGCAAAAAAAAAACTGTACTGCAATGGTCTGCCTAGGCTGACTTGGTTAAAATAGTTTGAATGCTGGAAATGTATTTAGGTATGCACACTTTTCAAGAAAGAACAGAATTGGATTCAGTATAAAAGGTTTGCAATGAAAATATTTGTGAATATTTTATACTTTTGTGGCATTCAGACACATTGGTTTTCTGTCGTGGTGTTGATATATAGGCCAAACATCCGAAATCACATACTTCCCTACTATATAGTAGGCGAAAAACAGTATGTGACAAAAGTAGTATGTCTGAATTCACAGTACAAAAAGAGTAGGCAACACGTACCCTGATGACCTACTTCTTCCGGCGAGAATCTGAAGTGTGCATACGATGGGACACTTTACTTTCCCCATGAGGTCACAGGAGAGGATTTATGAATGGCAGTGAAGCGACGTAATTGGCGCTGGTAGGTCACATGATGACAACATGGCGAATGTACGTAGTACTTCCAGATAACATTAATACTACACACATTAATACTATATAGAACATACTTTTTTTTTAGTGGTCGTGAAGTAATTGTTCAAAATAAGTACCTACTGCACTCAAGAGAGCATGCGATTCTGGAAGCAGCCCTTTTGTACAAGTACTCACATGCAGTTGGGGTGAAGGAGCTGGTCCTGGGAGCTCCCTGTGTGGTGGGGGGAGGAGGCATGGTGGGCGGAGTTAACCTGGACTGTGTTTTCACATCAGCAGGTGAGTCGGGCATGGTGGACCGCTTCTCAGTACGATCTGCAAAAGAAAAAGTGGAACAGTTCTTGTGAGACCTCAGTGATATCCCAACAGCTGCCTCTCCACAGCACCTGAGCTCCTGTAAGATATACACACATAGCTACATACACGATGCACGCCTTTAGAGAGTTCATAGATAGTAACACCAGTCAAATTCCAGCTGTCATCCCCATTTCCCTAATGATCAAAGACACCGGCAATATTCTCATTAAAACGTTTCAGAAATCTGGAGTAAACCCACAGAGATCTCCAGCATCTTCAACAGACATGCAATGTCAAAAGTACCCTGTTCTTCCAGATTAAAAAGTCAGTAAACCCATTCTACACTCGACTATGCTTAAGAATAATAGAAATAAGTCAATTTTGCACTGTATATTTGCTTGCATGTGCAAAACTCACAGTCACAATGCACGGGTGTTATCATGTGTTGCTATGTGGTTACTAGGGTTTGTGAGTGGTTTCTAGATCATTGCTAGGTGGTTCAACTTCAATTTATTTTGTGTCAGTTAGTTGCCAAGGCATCTAAAAATAAAAAATCTGACTGCTTAGAAAAACAATAGCATACTTCAATAAACCGCATAATTTGCAGTATCATTCATGTCTTTAAGAATTTGAACAAACCCATAGCTCCGAGTATGCTCATATCTCCTTTAAAATGTACATTTTATAGGAGCTTTTGCACCAGAGGAACCTTTTCAAAGTACCTATAACTATTTGCGGAAGTACTCGCTTTTTTGGTGTGTTCGCACTGGAAATGGGAACAACTTTAACTATAGGAACTCCTTTTTAGGGGACTAAATTAGCTCCTACTTAAGAGTAGGGTCTAAACCAGCACAATAGGAACTACCAGTGACGTAAGGGTGCGTTGATTGGCCGAACCCACACGAAACACCAGCACCAGCCATTTAAAAAAAAAAAACACACAGTTTATAGTCTTATTTACTTCACGAACATGGAAAACTGTGATAGATGGACCGACGCCGAAGTCCAGCGACTTCTAAACCTCTAAGCTGAGGATATCCAACGCGACTTTGAAGGGACCAAGTAAACATGATTATGTTTAAAATATATAATAAGACCGCCCTAGTGGCTAGTTCCTATAACCACCTGGTATGAAAGCCCCTAATATTTACTACAGGTTTTTAAAAAGCAAAATAATTAGTAAATAGAAAGCTGATTGTGGGTAATAATATCTAACAAGACTTATCGGCATCTCTCTGTTTTGACAAAGAGGTCATTGGTAGATGGAGAGGTCTCTAAAATGTTACTCATCTGTATCACTTTCTTCAAATTTGGTCTAACGCAGTGTCCTGCCTACTTCTCTATAATTGCTTAAAGTGTCAGTGTTGCTATTGTTAACTAATGAAAAACTATTAAAAATAGTATTCATTCATGAAATAATGCTGAAATATTTTTTTTCATTAAATGTAGGTGTAATATTAAATGTATTATAGGTGCTGAAATGACTACAACCAAAACTAAAATAAAAATCTAATAAAAATGACAAAAGCACATAAAAAAATGACTAAAACTTAAACTAAATTAAAATGAAAACTGAAAATATATAAATAAAAGCTATGAGCAGCGACACTGATGGTTTTTAGGGCATGTGAGCATGCTTTTTTTGTTCTTCAAAACCCTAGATATGACCGCACACAACATGACATCTAGATAGCGTTTACTTCAGAGGGTCATGATTAAAGATGCGGTCACAGTGTCCTTTAGTTGCTATAGCAGTGAACCTTAAAAGTCTGCTTATCTATCAGACTTATGATAGCAAATTCACTCTCATTTTAGTTGTTTTACAATATCAGCATCTGTACCGACCTATCAGAACCCTCGTACTCTCTCTTTCTTACATATAGACAGACATGTACGCACGCGTTGTACCAGCTGTGGGAACATTATGTGTCAGGGCGAGCAGCCGCCCTACGTCTGGGACATGTAGCCTGACTTTCCTGATTACAACTGTCCTGTGTGTCCCCTAGACTCTGATAACAGCAGGGGCTCCTGTCTTTCCAATTCTCTTTCTCTAACCGCTCCCTTTTCAGCACGTCTTACTCCACAGAAGAATATTAATTAAATACAGCCTGTTAATAACGGCTATACATCCCTTTAAAGATGTCTCACAGCTAGAGATATCGGCTATTGTCTTACTGGCTATGTACACATTGCAGAATAATCTAAAAAGAAAGGTGGGTGCACTTAGACAACCACAGTCTGACCAGGAAAGCAGAAGAGATAAAAAGGGTGGGAATTTCAGCTACGAACGGCTCCCATTCCATAGGCACCTCTATGGCTGTATGTGTGCACCAGAACCTAAACATATGTGTCAGGCTTAATCGGCCCCATACTTGCTCCCTCAATCCTTTCCCAAATTCATAAAAAGTCACTTGTGCTAAAAACAAAGCTCAAGCGTTATACATTACACAGGGACCGATCCATCTATCCCATTCTGAGCTAACCTTTTATGACAGAATAATAAGCAGGGGTCTTTATTCCACGCCTTCACCTGTGCTGATAAACAGTTCTGTATCTGTATTGTCAAAAAATAAATAAAGAAAATGAAAAAGAAAATAATATAAAGAATGAAGAGATGATGGACAGACTACTTAGAAAAACCAATGCTGGTAATGAAACATAATTATTTCTAATAAGGAAACTGCATTCGGCCTATGATATTCATTAAAAACACAATGATAGAAATGAAAGATTCTTGAGTCAGTGAAAGGGACGAGGCAAAGCAAAGTGGCTTGATTCAACATTAAAATCTCAGTATGGGGTTAGTTATTACCTTGAAATGTTAACAACGTGACAAGTCCAGGCACTATAATTTATGAGAGCCGCCGTACAAGTCTGAAATGAATAAAATAGCCCAAGCTCTAGTGCGAAAGCTATTCTAAACCAATATGCCTGTCAGATTATTATAATTGGAAAATATATGAAATTGTGAAAAAATATATATTAATTGTCCAAGACAGATAAGGTCTACGGGAAAGGCTTTTATTCGGCTTTGGTCTCAGAAGCAGCCCAGGGCAACCTAAAAAGCAGCTTGTGGATCTACATGTGTAATTGAGGATTAACATCTGGGTCAAAGTTGGGATTGGATTGGGAATCGGGAAAAGAGAAACAACCCTGAGACGTCTAAACCTCATCCTCTCTCCTTACCTGTCGAACACAAATGGATGATAGGAGGTATAGAATAGGCAGTAATCTGTTCACACTTTTATGTGCATGTTCACAAGCATGCCGATATTCTGACCCCTTGGAAGACACAGGAAGGAAGTAGAAATATGAAAAAGTGGTGTAAATGTGGAACGTCGTCCATTAGTCAGCACAACATATCCATTAAGTTTCATATTTCCTTCACTATTTTCTGCTGAAATATTACACATCAGACAGACTACTTAAAAGCATTGCACTTCCTATAGTATGTGTCACCCCGTGTTTGAGTGAAATAATAATCACCATAATACATCTCACTTTTATACTGGCAGGATGGATGAATTCCACATCAAGTACAATCAATGACTGTAAAAACCCATCTGAAGAAAAGGAAAAAAGCATATTCAGATGAAAGTGTTCTTTACTATTTATATTATAATCTCACTATTTCCATTAGACTAAGAGTGTTGGAATAAAATCTAGGTGTTACGTACATAACATGGAATGCAGGTTACATATGCACAATCTTTATATATTTGATCTCCTATTAGTCAAAGCGAAAAGGATTGACAATAAAAATGCATTGTACACGAGCAGCATTAAACCCACCTAAAAGTGGTTGACTGCGCAAATATGCGGTGGGAAAAAAAGAGATGCATAACTCAATTCAAATGAGTTCCCTCTTGGAGTGGAAAAGAAGCAATTTTGCATTTTAAACAGGCTCAAAAACATACCAGAGTGCACATCCATCCTGCCTTGATTTCATAAAGTTAATCTGCGCAGAGTTAACGCACAGAGTGCATTTGTTTGGCAGTTACCTGGCTTTTCAAAACGGGAAATTGGCAGACGAGCGGCACAGATGAATATTAGGCGGGCCACCACGGATATTGATGCAGCAAGAGATTTAATGTGGCTCCCAGGAAGGACGATGAAGTGCTTTCCATTTTCCTGTTCGCCAAGGTCTTTTATTGCTTTTCAAAAGAGCTCTCGAGTAATATGGATCGCCATTAAACGGCACACCAAACTGAGCATTAGAAAGCACAGACTCGCTCATCTTCACTCCACGCCTGGTCATTTTTCATGACCCGACAGTGGCAGTGAATTTCTTGCTAGGACGTGACTGGCTCTCCTAGCCGCTCTCCTTATATCTTTGTGCTTATATCACTAATTTGCATGCACAAACAAATACCAGAAGTCAAAGAGGAATTGCAAATGTTCTCACTATAATTAAGAGACCACTATTAAAGACCAGCATGATTTGGTGCAGAACTGAGTCACATCCTTCAGGGTCCGTTAGCCAGTTCGCCATGATCTAAACAGTCAGCTGTGCATGCTGTCTATTTCTACAGTCTTCTATGAAGGGGAATACAAGCTATTTAATGGATTTTTAAGTATTTATATTGAATTATAATAATAAACATGCCTGAACAAGTGACACTATAGGTGTTCTGTAAACACAGAATTATGGTTTACACATTTTCTTTACCTTTTTGAGTCAAAAACAACTCTGTTTCATGGATATTATACAAACTACACATAATATTACACAGAAATACAAAACAAAGTACATTTCTGGTTTAAAATATTATAAGCTTCAAGCTAATTTAAAGCCTGTACTTTTGTATTCTATCAATCAACATCAGTCTTCTTTTATCCCTCAATCTGTTCTGCTCCTTTTATACATGCACCCTGTATAAGATCCTTTCTTCTGATAACATGACCAGAACAATCAGAGAAAAATCTAATTTTTGACACACACAGCTCGACTTACATGTCTCTTACATCACTCACTGCACAAGTGGTAATGTTCGGCTCATTCCAGGGTGGGAAAAGCA